TTGGTCTGGAACGCGCCCTGCAGAATCACCGAGGCTGCTTCCCTTGCCACCCTCCTCCTTCTGATCAACCCGACCTCCAGCGCTCCAGACTGCGGCGTCCTGGTTCGGTCCCGCCCGGCCTCCGGGTCTCGTCCCCCCTGGTTGGGGAGGAGGGGAGCAAGGAGAGGAGCGAGAGGAGGAGGGCACGAGGAGAGGCCAGGGCAGTCGTCCTCCTCCTCCTCCTCCTCCTCCTCCTCCTCCTCCTCCTCCTCCTCCTCCTCCTCCTCCTCCTCCTCCTCCTCCTCCTCCTCCTCCTCCTCCTCCCTCCTTTATGTCACCTCCTCTCTCCCCTGGCCTTCCGCCCCTGTGGCCAGCGCAGACCGATCCGGGCCCGAAGGGTGCACGAGAGAAATGGGGCCTGGGGCTTCGGCTGTGGGTTTTCGCGATGTGGTCCCAGACATGCTCGCGTCTTAAAAAAAATCAGTGCTGGAGGTTTTTCGCTATTTTCGGCCTCGGAGGGCCCTCGCCGGGCCTCAGGGCCGTCAAAAAACGGCTCAGGATGAAAAGCCGGCCCCGGGGAAGGGGTCGGGATTTCCAGGAACCACGTAGCGAAAAAATCAGGACGTCGCATGTTTGGGGTAGTTTTTCCTTGACCGCCGAGATAAGTCGTTCTAGGGCGCTCCAAAACGCTCGCACAGGGCTCCATACCCAGCCATGCGACGTCCTGTCTTCTTCAGTACGGGATCCATGGAAGTCCCGAACCTTGCCCCGGCACCGATTCTTCATCCTGCGTCGTTTTGTTGACGGCCCCGAGGCCCAGCGAGGGCCCCCCGAGGCCGAAAACGGCCAAAAGCCTCCCGCCCTGATTTTTTTTGCTACAACGCGATCATGCCTGGGACGGCCGCGGCACCCGATGTATCTTGCAGGAGGACCAGACCGCGGGGATCCGCATCCTCCACGTGCGCGCGCCGCCCTGGCGACGACGACCCCGGCCGCTCGACCCTGAGCTCCGACGCTGCAAACAAAATTGCAGCATCGAAAAAAGCACCACTACCAGAGCAACGGACCCCATCATTATGTGGAGGAGGAGGAGGAGGAGGAGGAGGAGGAGGGCGAGGAGGAGGA